CAACTCCTTGCGGTGCTTGTTCCCTTGCAAACTCTGTATTATTACAATCATATAAACATAGGACGTGCAAGCCCCATTTATAATGGAAAAACCATCTCGTAGGATGGGTAATAATATTGCATTAAATATAAAGCAAAAGCTATAAATGAAATAACTAAACTAAGCAACCATACCCCCCCACACCCGAACAAGGGCCTATACCCGTAGGCGTAGCCCATGATCGGTGAGCAAGTGCCTAAACCCGTAGGCGTAGCCCATGCTCGGGGAGGGAAGAGGTCGTAAATAATTATTACATTTCTAACTTTATTACATCAATACAAAACATACAAGAGAATAGTTGTCCACTACCATCCATAAACATAACATCCATACAAGATGATAAATCATATAACTTAATCAACATTAAGAAATATGCATCTATCTAGTTATGCAACATATTGGAAACTAGATAGCATAAGGATTATCCAAACTCAAAAAAGACTAACAAGCTTCTAACATACAACTACACTAGTTGTAATTAATTATTTTATAAAATAACTTGAATTAATTAACTAGTTTCATGTAAACTAGAAATTAGAAGCAAGAACAAGGTCCTCCATGAGTTAGATGTACATGTTAAGATTCAATTAGATGGAACCATAGCTCTGATACCATGAAGGAAATCGTGCTATGTCTACATGCATAATACACAGCGGAAGACATGTATGTACAAAAATACTAAGCATGTAGAGAGCATGAAATATTCATATGGATCGTCTAATTAAATCTAACATGATCCTTATTATTAAGTGAGCATACAAGAGTTAGAAAGTCATACTTTCGTAGCGTGATTCGATGGAAGATCGAATAACCCCTAGCTCTTGCTCCTTGTAGTAGAAAATCTCCTTGTAGTGGATCTCCAAGTCTTCAAGTGAGCTTGATAAAATAGGAGTCTTCTTAAGACACAAGGCAAGATATCCACCCCGGGGTTCTTAAAATCCTACTACTTCCTCTTGCTCAAAGATTGCTAAAGTTTAGTAAGAGGAGAGCTCTCTTTTATTCTCTTATGGAAAAAACACTTAGCCAATTTTTCATTAACCTTTCCATAAGAAAAAGAGCTCATATTTATAGAGTGAAAAGTGTTCATGATATGAATGACTCATCCTATGAGTCATGCAATGAATCATCAAAAATTAATGATTAACCAAGTGAGTCATGCAATGAATCATCTTATGAATCATTACATTTCAAAACCATGTGCTAATAAACCATGTGCTCAAACCATACCACTAAGTGACTCATCTCATGACTCATTATACATGGTATGTGTATTTCATAAATGAGAATACCAAATTATTATCACTAATACAGTATTTCATAAATACGGTATATAGTATTATTCCAATCTTTAACTAATTAGTCACTATATGACCAAATAAATCAAGAGTTGACCAAAAGTCAACTATTGACCAAAAAGTCAACTAGTTGACTAAAAGTTAACTTTATGGGAAAAATACTGGAATTCATTTCCTAAGCACATAGCATTCCGATTTTATCGATATACATAACTGTTTATGTGTATCCAAAAGAAATCATATATGCGTATCAATCATACGCATCACTCCATAAAATGTGTTTCATAGGATTCAAGTACGCGCTTGGTGTGACTCTAGGGCCCAACTTAAAAAACTCGGTAGTGGATCATATCCATAAGTACAACAGAGGTGCTAGCTACACATGAAGACCACCCGGGTATAAGTTGTGATAAAGGTCTGCAAGATGCTTATCCAATTTTATCAGGACCACTCAATGATAATACCGTACAGTCCGGTCTCTTCGTCAAACCATGTCAAACTATTGAGCCTAGGGTATGGCAAACTGTCAAACCCTAATAGCTTGATTAGTGTTTATTGATATTAAACTCATAACCTATAAGATCAAACTGACACTCAGTTTATCTTATTCACCTTGACCAAGGATTTCCAGGCTATAGTTATATCAAACAATCTTATGACATCAACCCCTATACTGGGAGAGACGAATCCCTTCTTAGCATCTCAATATCTACTTATGTCTATGGATGTACCCAACAAGAACCGTTATGCACAATTCAATAAGAACTGTGGTTAGGTAAAAGTCTAAATATATCTTTACTGACATATAAGATATTGCACTCATGCCTCAGGTCAAGAGACTACTATGTACTATATCACTTGAGAACTTCTATTTGACAGTTAAGTATATTACCAACTAGATGTTCTCGGCGAGTCGTTCAGTCAACTCATTCACTAATGAGTCACCTGTATACTGTATCTTGATGTCTCACATCAATGATCTAAGAGATTGATCATCTCCTTCAAAAGGAGAAATAAAGCATACACTAGTCTAAACCAAAGTGATGATGTCCTATCTCAACACTTCATCAACTAGGAACATTTTAGAATATACGTTACCGACTAATCAGATCTCTTCATTACGATCACTATCCGAAATGTCTGATAGTCTAGTATTTATTCTAAGGACATTATCTGTATATTTAGAACATCAGATAAATCTGACCAAAATAGCATACTATCATTTTGAACAATGATGTTATATACATATAGGTCCTGTTACAATATACAATAATTGCCTGCAGGGCACCTATATCTAATAGTACGCATGTCCAATTTACTTTTGTTAAATCAATCTATACAAAAAACTTATATCTATTCATTAATGATATGGATCTTACATCTTTAAAATGACAGGAGCGATTAGTCAACAAGACTATCGAACAATCTCAGCCGGAAGTTACATCCCCGATGAACGAGTTTGAGATCTCCATTGATGTACTTGGAAGGAGACCAGGTTACCTGAAGGGGTATGGGATCCACCTTCGAGGGAGTTCATCTACCAGGTCTATTGCAAAGTCAGCTGAGCGGGATGCTGAGGTCGTGGTTTTAAAGGAGACAGTAGCTGTGCAAACCGAACAGATTGCCTCACAAGCCGAGCAGATTGCCTCACAAGCCGAGCAGTTAAACGCACAAGCCCAGAAGACAGCTGATCTTGAGGCTTTAGTGCATCAGCTATTTGCACGTAGCCAGCCTGGAGCGAGCAGTGATAATAGAGATTTCTCATCGAGATGAGTTCAGACTTGCATTTAATTTTTCCTTATTAGATTTATTTATGGTTTCTAGACTTATTTTAGACTGAATGAGAGGAGCTATTTTGAAAGTTATTGGGGACTTATTGCAAAACGATGAAAGTTCAATGGACAAATTTACAGACCTGGGCTTTACGGGCTTTTTTTATTTCTAGGCATATGATCAAAGGAGAAATGCGTCAGGGACCCCAAAAAAAGGGACCCTGAGGGGACAGGTGAGGTGTCACCCCCTGGTGGGGTGATTTACTGTTCATAAACAGTAAATCACTCCACCAGGGGGTGACACCTCACCTGTCCCACAGGGGTCCCATTTTTTGGGGTCCATGTAGAACCACTCATGATCAAAGTCATAACAAAGCTGGTAATAGTTTGTAGACGACCAGTACGTATCCTAAGACGTATAGACACGTGTATAAGCGAATCAATCTGTGATCGACATGTGGCAGACAAGTAGGAGACAGTATAGCTTCACAAATTTCTTTTCTCCTTTACGATATCTTAATATATCATGTGGCAGACAAGTAGGAGACAGTATATTCTTAATATATCTTGTGTTAAAGGATATTCTTTTGTTGGAGATTGTCAATTTGAGTTAAAGGAGACGATATCTTGCGGATTATCTCAACCTGAGTTTTCCCTGCCTAATAAGGTTCGTCGAGGGACGAACAGACTGGACTATTTATTGCTGCTGAGAAGAATTGAGCATCGAAAACCACGAAAACATTGGTGATAACGTGATGGAGAAAGACAGCGATCCAAGAATTAATATTGGTAGATTCATTGAATGAGTACTCAACACAATCTAGCCCACAAAGTCTCTTTTTTCTGGTGATATCTATTTCATGGCTTCCAATTGCACAAGTTGGCTCATTTACCAAGTTATTGAGCGCATATGGAGAGAGGGTATTCAAGTAACCTCCGCCAGTAGACTTTTGGTGTGCTAATGTACAAACTTACAAAATCTTGTCACCTAGTCTTATGCCTGTCATGTGTTACTACTACCAGACAAACATGCTGGTATCTGAGGCCTCTAAGTGAACAAACCTCTAGCTATTCAAGATGATATGCATACAAATATTCTAACTTTATGCTACTTTGATTGAAAATGTATGCACGCGAAACATCTGGAGTCATCGGCATGTGATGCATCACCAACTTCTTGTAGGTTTTTCAGCCACAAACACATACTATCACATAATCGATCACTGCTGTATACTATCACATGATCAATCATTGCTGAAAACAATTAGGTAGGATTCAATGCTTCATTTTGGAATCAAATGGCACATAATCAACAGGCTTAGTTTAAGTGCCAGAACTGCATGTATTTCTGATATTGGGAATGACCCTAATTTCACTTTTCTTCAAAAGGTAACGAGTAACGGTGTTAGAAACTAAAAAATATAGAAGGTTGAGACTAACAATTTGGCCTACCTAGATATGAACAACCGCTAGCTGACAGTTACTGTCACTAACTCATTAGAGCCAAGGGGTCAGAGACTAACAAGGATTTTGGAAGGCAATAAAAGCAGCATGTATAAACTTCAGTTACATGTTTGTTTCTTATGACAATTCCTGACACAACTTAAATGGATCGCCGATTTATTTTCATAATTATGATAGTTCTTATGACAGAATGGAGCTATAATATATCTTGTTTTGCTAATTAGTTTCAGAATTTTTTGTGTTAAAGGTGTTTGAAAGTAGAGAGTACGTATTCCATTTGTAAACTTCAGTTACATGTTTGTTTCTTAGTGTCATTTGTAGTTCTGTGCTCTTAGTTTTTTTGTTGGGACACTACATTATAAACTGCAGTGTAGGTGTATTTAATTAGCTCATTTTATTGCTATGTATCTTATTTCTTTGGCTGGAGCAGGTTGCCATAACACCAGAGGTGACTTCAAGGGTGACTTCAAGGGCTGTTTGTAGGAAGATTATTTGTGAGCTTGTAAACATTTACAAGGACTACCACACATGAAAGCTTATGGATATGTATTGCGGCCCTGATAGAGTGACTACAAAGCAACAAATGCAGGAGTTAGACAGAGTCGCAAAAACTCTACCAGGGAATATACTTCATTTGTGAAGAGGTTCACTAATCGTGCCGTTCTTTCACTTCAAGTTTTCTTTTTTTTCAACTTAGTTTAGTTTCTTGTAAATCTTATAATGTGTCATTCTCTGAAATGGAAAACACTGAATATGGCAAACTGGAATATTTAAACAGACCTTTGAGTGTTGACTTGGAAATGAAAATGAATGTAATTATTTTGTAATGGGAGCAAATTCTTTGTTTATCATAATATGCAACTTGTTTGGAGTATAATTTCATGTTTGGTTTCTTTGTTGATGTGAATGGGAGTAAATTTTTTGTGGATGTTCAAGTTTAGTGTAGGCTTGTAGTTGACAGAAAAGATATTACTTTTGATGATGTAAATTAGTGTCGACAAAATTATACTTTTTACCGTTGTTAAAAATTATACTTTTGCCGACGCTATCTTGCGTCGGCAAAAATATAGCTTTTAGCGACGTAAGCTTGCGTCGCCAAAAGTATAGCCTTTAGCGACGTTTCACTCTGCGTCGCTAAAAGCTGTACTTTTGCCGATGCTATCTTGCGTCGGTAAAAGTATAGCTTTTAGCGACGCTATCTTGCGTCGCCAAAAGTATAGCTTTTAGCGACGTAGAGTTAAGCGTCGCTAAAATCTATACTTTTGGCGACGCAAGATAGTGTCGCTAAAAGCTATACTTTTACCGACGCATAGCTTTTGCTGACGCTGCATGCGTCGCCAAAAGCACACTTTTGCCGACGTAAAATATTATGCGTCGCTAAAAGCTATGCTTTTCCCGACGCATGGCGTGTCGCCAAAAGTGTACTTTTGGCAACGCGGTGTATTTGTGTCGCCAAATACTTTCCTTGACGCACTTTTGACGACGCGTTAGCGACGCTGCATTTTACGTCAGGAAAGATTTTTCCCGACGTTTTTTAAACTTTTGCCGACGTTTTTGTTTCGTCGGAAATGTTGTATTTGTTATAGTGGATCTTGATGATCGTTTTGTTGAAGGCTTTGGCTAAACCGTTTGCCGAGGGAATATAAGCCGTAGAGGAAAGGTTCTGTATTCTGAACTTGTCACAGAACCGAGTAAATGCGTGACTGATAAATTGCATGCCGTTGTCATGAATGATACATCTGGGAACGCCGTATCGGTATATGACGTGATGTTTGATGAATCTGATCATATCATTGGTCTTGACCTCCCTTAATGGGACAGCTTCGGCCCATTTGGAGAAATAGTCGGTAATCACAAGGATGAAATGGTAACCTCTTGCTGATGGTGGGGATACTGGTCCGATGATATCCATCCCCCACGCTTAGAACGGCCATGAAACTGCTGTCGGATGCAGGTCTTCGGGTGGTCGGTGCATATAATTGGCGTGGATTTGACATGAGTGGCAACGTTTGGCGTAAGCGACTGCATTGCTGACTATTCAGGGCCAATAGTAGCCCATCCTCCGCAGACGATCCCAGAGCTTAGGTCCGGGTTGATGAGCCTTGCAAGTACCATCATGGGCTTCACGCAGAGCTTCCTGTACTTTCGTCTTCGAGAGACATCATAGTAGCATGCCGCCATACGATCTACGATACAATGCCTTTGTGGTTGAGTCGTAGTAGAACCTTGAGGCGCGCCGGCGGACAGACTCTCGCTCTCTAGCGTCTTCGGGCAGTATACCGTGCAAAACATAGTCGATGATCGAGAAGCGCTAATCTTTCGGGTCAAGTTGGTCCGGGGCTTGGTGTGTGGTGTTCGCTTCTAGGGCATCTTCTGCCCGAAAGAGTCGTCGGCTCACGACAGTGACACGCTGAGTCGTCCCTAACGGTTGGGCCAGGTTAGCTGCTAATGACGTGAGGGCGTCTGTTCAATGCAGAAGTTTTCAAATGACTCAGCTAGTTTGATAGCTACTTTATGAAGTGGGATCAGATCATCATTTCTAACCACGTATTCCCCTGTCGTCTATTTGACGATGAGCTGAGAGTCACCATAGGTCTCGAGATGCTTTATCTCTAATTCTTTAGCCAGTTCGAGTGTGATGAGAAGTTTATTGTACTCAGCCATGTTGTTGGTGCATGGCTCTGTTAAAGAAAAGGCCCTTGGCAACACGTGGTTTTGGGGGGAGATTAAAACTACCCCCACTCCTGCGATGATGGATCCGTTCATGCCGACGTGAGATGCCCCATCGAAGATCATCTACCAAACCTTCCCTGGGGAGGTTGTGTTGACTTCGAAAGTTTCATCCGACAAGTCTTCGAATAAGTCAGTCTTTATCGCTAGCGTGTGGCTGTCCATGAGATCACAGATGGCTTTCCCTTTGACTGATTTTTGCAACATGAAGTGGATGTCGTCCTGAGATAACAGGAGTGCCCATCTGGCGAGGCGCCAGTTTAAGGCTCCGGGTTGTGTCATGAAGACTCGGATGGTGTTCATCAGGGAGATGACATGGATGGTTTGGCTAATCAGGTAGTGCCGCATCTTTTGGACAGCGAATACCAAGGCTAGGCATTCCTTTTCGCCTATAGAGTACCATCGCTCGACACCTTGTAGAGTCCTACTTAGGTAATAGATACCTTGCTCATGGCCCACATCGTCATTTTGTGCCAAGAGAGTACCTAGAGAATGCTCCAAGGCTTGTATATAGATTACGAATGGCTTTCCTGAGACCGGAGCCGCCAAAATGGGTAGGTTCGAGAGATCAGCTTTGATCTCCTTGAACGCTCGTTGACAAGGCTCGTCCCATACAAATGAGACACCTTTCTTCATCAGCTTGGAGAAGGGTTGGCATTTGCCTGAAAGATTCGAGATGAACCTTCGGATATAAGCCAAACATCCCTGGAGACCCCTTAATTCTTTGTGATTCTGGGGCGGCTGAAGCTCTTGGATAGCTCGTACTTTATCGGAGTCGATACAAATTCCCTTTGTCATGATGACAAATCCAAGGAATTTACCACTAGACATCCACGTAGGATTCATCTTGAGTTGATGAGATTGCATGAGTTCGAACATCACTCTCAAGTCTTGGAGGTGGTCGTCTTTGATACGACTCTTTACGACCAAGTCATCCACGTAGCATTTGTCTGTCTTTCGTAGATAGTCCCGAAAAATCATGCTCATGGCACGCTGATAGGTTACGCTAGCATTTTTGAGTCAGAAAGGCATAACCATGTAGCAGTATACCCCCATCGGAGTTTCGAATGAGGTGTGTTTCTCATTGTCATGGTGCATCTTGATTTGATTGTACCCTGAGAATCTATCCATAAAGTACATTCTCTCAAACCTGCACGTGTTATCGATGATGACATCCGTGATGGGTAGAGGAAACTCATCCTTTGGATAGGCTGCGTTGAGGTCTCGGAAGTCGATGCAGATGCGGATCTTGCCGTTCTTCTTCAGGACCGAAACAATGTTAGCTACCCAGTCAGTGTGTTGTTCTTCTCTGATGAAGACGGATTCGACCAGCTTCTTCACTTCAACTTCGATTGCATCCATGATTTATGGACGAAACCGTCTCTGCTACTGTTTGACGGGTTTGGCATCCGAGCCTATGTTGAGGCGATGCATGGCGATCTGAGGATTGAGGCCAGACATGTCCTCATAATTTCACGCGAAGACATCGATATATTCTTGTATGAGGGATATGAGGTCTTCTTTTTCCTGAGGAGGTAAGCTATCATTGATAAATATAGGATTGGGGTTGGCCTCATCACCCATATTTACCTGAAGGATTTCATCCTCGGTGGGTGGCTCATGCTGCTCGAAGTGACTGTTCTATTGAGCATTGATACGGTGGTCCCATGCTTCATCATAAAGCGGGACCTGCTCGTCCTCCGCTATTTTAGCAGGATTAGTCGTAGTCATGTTGACTGTGAGATCTTTAAACAAGTCTCCCATAGTGACGTCTGAGTCCCATGCCGAGGATGTTGATGATTGATCATCCGAGTGGGCGTCACCAGAGTTCTCACCGAAGTTGCATAACAATTCTGACGAAGAGGAAGTGTAACCCAAGCCTCTTTGAGTCTTGCTGAAGTAGTTTGAGGGTCTAACTTTAGGTACATAGGCAGGCCGAATAAACGTCTTTCGTCCTCTGCCGTAGTTTAGGCATTCTTGACAGGTGAAATTGTAGGCCATGTCTTTCATCATACGTTTTGCCATTTGATTGTACTGCAAAAATTGTGGCGCGGGTTCCTCTTCTTCGGATTCGTCCCACAACGTGCGTAATGGGTGATCGATCCTTCCAAAGATAATATTCATCTGATAATTATCCTGGGCAGGCACGATGAACACAGCCTACAAGGACTCGATCGTTTGTCCTTTTGTAGTATACGATGAGTATACAGGCAATTGTAAGGAAGAGTCATTCTACAACCCCGAAATTGAATCACCGGGCCTGTCATCATCAGATTTCGGACAAGATGACAAGTAAGCAAAGTCAATCTTCTCATTCAGGATAATCCCATCCGCCTGATTAGCATCGATTACATTATGGCTTTCGTAGCCGATTACAATTGATTCAAAATCGTTCAGAATAAGACTGTCACCGTATTCAGGTTCGCTATCCGCTTCGTTACCACTTTCAGATTCTTCAGTCGGTGGCGGGTCGTCCGAATCGAGGTCCTAGTAGAGTAGAGAATCTGTGAAGTAGTTCTTGACTCCTATGAAGTGTTGCTTGTCGGCAACCATGATTTTCACCCAATCGTAGTTGTCCACGTACTTTAGGCATTGGTGTAACATGGATGGGACTATGCGGTTGTTTTGGATCCATGGCCGTCACAACAGCATGTTGTAGGAAGGATCAACATTGATGACATAACAAGTCACCTCCATCTTCATGTCACCTATATGGTATTTAAGACGGATCTTGCCGAGCGGCCGAGTCCTAGAGGCATTAAAGCCAAAGATGGTCGTAGTTGTCATGGATAGACGCCTCTGGGGCACCCCCAGGTGCTTGATAAGTTTTAGGGAGACAATGCTCAGCGCGGATCCAGGGTCAACTTGGATTCAATCCACCTTGGAGGAACCGATGTACCCCGTGAAGTACAAGGGTCGATCATGGGACGTGCTTTTGATTAGCATGTCCTCAGGGGTGAATGTGATGTAGGGCACCCGCTGTTCGGTGGCCTGACAGCATTGTAAACACCTTCTTCCTGTGTCTTCCTCCCTCGTA